ATGGTATCCCTCATGCCGTTAAATTATATATTTCTTCAGGGAAAATACTTTATAAAATGCAAAACGAAAATATAATACAAACATGACATTGACCAAAAGGCATGAAAAATATTGGCCCCGAGGAAACCTGGGCGTAAAAGAACACCATCGGGGTTGTCTCAGTCAACAGTGGACGTAACAGAAGATAATGAAGATAAAACATCCATATACAAAATACTATTATTAGTAATTATGATAGGCTAATTTTCGAACTTCAGAAACCGCAAGGATCACATGCATTGACAGATACACCCGGGTCATCATTTGGTGGTATTGAATTCATCAGAGAACCAGGTAGTGAAGAAAGTGGGACAGGCGGTAAGGATAAATCAAAGGCAAGTATCAATGTTACCATATAATACAAAACAAGGATAAATATAATCTTGTAAATTGTATGTAACCATCGACACCCATGATCTTTCAAATGTGTTGCCGGCCGTTTCAAAATTATACCAGGTAATTAGGCCTAAACTGATATCAGTAACCGAAACTGACCGATTCCTTTTAGGTGACACGTGAGCTTCTTTCGCCAGACGAGAATTTAAGAGGACAACATAACTGCTACGTGAACCACGCTTTTGGAGACTCAGCACTCATCGTCGATTTTGAACTTAGTGCCGACAGAAGGATTGTTGCAGACAGTACCTCAAATAAAGTAAAGAAAATTTACTTTCTCCTTTTTAGACAGGCTCACTTTTCACGTCATAGCGGAAATTTCGAAGTCCGGTGCACGATTTTGTCTGCGATAGAGTTATAACTCCATGGTGTGAGCACTTCTCGGTCGCTGTCCGCTGAACATATCGGAATCGGTGGCAGTTTTAGCGAATAGTCACAAAACGATCCGTCGGACGACGCGCCATCGCGTCGCGTACTCTTGCGTCAGTTACCGACGCAGTGTTTGCCTAACTTTATGCAACACAGTGCATTGGTATTTTATAGTTAATTCAGTAAGATACAAAATAGAACAATAATGATAAACATAACATCCACGTTTCAGATGGAGGAGAATTTTGACGGTCCACGACTATCAACAGGAAGGCCTAAGGACTTTAGATTTAGCTCCTTCGATAAAGAGGAAACAACTGAATCGTCTACAACGACAACTAGAGAATGCTTTGTATCTAGCGAGTTCATTCGGGAATCGGAAGATAGTGGTTTAACGGAAGATAGTGGTTTAACGAATGAGTCACACGAGGTAGGCCTTCAAAGAGTGGAAGCAATTAATGAATCGATGAAGCTTATTGTCTGTTTAAGAAAATTCAAGTTTGTCAATGTGGTAGAATATCAAAATGAAAATAATTATATTTTTTATCTTATAGGATCAAAGCACGTGATGGTAAACTACATTGTATGGAACCAGTAACAGTTGGCGTTAGTTTTCACATGACCATAGATGAAACCAGTGCAGCAGCCGCAGGTGTGGATATAGCTGGGGTGGGTGGGGGGAGAAAAAAAATGTTTAAGTATTTTCTACATATGGTCTAAAATCGCTTAAATAATTCTTTGAAACCCTCAAATTGCCATATTTTTTCTCCCCCCTGGAACACTCTCTAGAGGTCTTGTGAGCGACGCCCGACCACGCCCACTTTTTTCGTCGGGACGTCAAATCCCCCGTCGGGCAAATCCTAGCGCCACCCATGAGCAGCTGTGCCAGACCTATCGTGAATTTCTATTGGCTCTGGAATTCATACGGTACCGTATTGCAAGACGTCATCAAAAGCACGCATTAGTTTACACTTTTTCAATTTGACAAACTATTGACCAACCAGAGCCTAATTTCGTCGCAATAGGCCTAAGTTTTAAATGTCCTGGCATTATCGTGTTACAATAATGTCGCCTGTGCAATAGCAAAATAGGAATTGCCAATATACTCGTTGTATAGGCTCTGTGAGGCAAACTTACTCAATGATGACTCTCGTGTAAGTATTCTCTGAAAAACATCGTATGTTAGCTTAGTTTGGCAATTAACAAATATGCCCATAGCAAAACGCACGCTGAAGAGTAACAAAACACAAATCTATGAATGTATTGTTTTAATTTTTACTTTAATCATTATTTTTGTTTATTTTTACACTTAAAATAATAATAAATATTATAAGAGTATTAATTGAAGAAAATATTTTGAATAACACAATTTCAACCCAATTACAAGAACTTTGGCAAATAGTATTTACAATTTTGTATTATTTTTCTAGAAATAAAAATAAACTCGTGGGGATACATAAAAAATTAATTAAAACATAAAC